ATTTGTCACGAGCTCTCTTCAATAATTGAAAAGCCAAATAATCATATTCTTTTAGCAAGTTTTAATTTAAAATCAAAATTTTCAATCAAATTTACATTGTAAATCTGGAGAGTTCTCTTTAACAACTGAAAAAAGCAAATCATGTTATATATATATATATATGTGTGTGTGTGTGTGTGTGTGTGTGTGTGTGTGTGTGTGTGTGTGTGTGTGTGTTTGTGATATTCTGTCGGCACACCCACATTTGTTAAAACAACCGAAAGAAAAAAGCTTAACCAGCGATCGTTTTAAAACTGGTCAAGGATATAAAAAGGCCTCTTCTTCTTTTATGTGCCGTGTTCCTTCAGGACGCAGACGATCATAGCCCTCCACATCTTCCTGTTCCTTGTAGTTCTTAATAAGTTTTATCTTTGGTATTTCTCGCAAATCCTGTCCAACTATCCATCCACTTAAGCCCATCAAGTATGCTACACGCTGCTCCCCTCTGTCTCTTTGTACCTCTATCTGTCCTGTGAGTATCAGATTTTCCAAACCCTTCTTCCACATTACGTGCCCCGGAAATTTCAACTTCCGGATGTCAAGTATAAGTTTCTTTTTCGTTTCCATTCTCTCCAAAACCTGCTTGTTGCTCACATGTTCAGCCCATGGTATCCTCAGCATCTTTCTGTAGAACCACATTTCTGTTGCTCCAAGTCTCTTCCTCATCTTTCAGAAGATTGTCCAGCATTTGCTGACATACAAAAGGACAGATGTCACGTAAAAGTTTAGTACTCTTTTCTCTGTTTCTAACGAAATTTTCCTGTCTCTTAATACTCTGCTTAGCTTTTGGAATGCATCTTTAGCCACCCCCATACGTCATCGGATCTCAGTGTCTCACTTTCTGTCCTCTGTTAGAACACTTCCCAGATATTTAAATTTCTGTACCTGCTTCATTTTATTTGTCCCTATTCACGAGATGAGGTATTTACATTCTTTACATTCTTCGGGCACATCTTTTTTGCCATATACTTCCTCATCGTTTTTGTCATATTCACGACGTTTCGGCCGTTGTACGCTCCGGTCTTCTTCAGTTGATTGGAATTTCGAACTGAACCCTTTATTTCATCCACCGAGTCGTGGAACTAGAACAATCTATCTCGGTGGACGAAGTAAAGGTTTCAATTCGAAATTCCAATTTTCTGAAGAAGGCCCGAGTGTACAATTGCTTCATTTTAGTATCCCCGACCTGTAATTTGCATTTTGGGCTCATCTTTTTGCTGATTCATTCTGTCATCTTGCAGTTTATACTTAGTCCTTTCTTCTCGCTTTCTTTCGATACCTTATGTAGGAGATTTTGTAGTTTTCTTTCTGTGTCTGCTATCAGTACTGTGTCATCTGCATATTTTATGTTGTTAAGCTTGTGGCCGCCAATAATGAATCCAGTTAGGACTTCTATTTCTTTTAGAATTGCCTCGCTGTATGGGTTGAATAAATTCAATTAAAGTATTGAAAAAATGTTCCAGCAGCTAGCCCACGGCTCCAGTCATCAGCAGTAGTTCGAAGCTCGCCAGCCATTGTCATCTCTAGCTCGCCATCGGCTGCCGCTGCCGTCATCAAGTTCCGACCAATAGCAACGATATGCAATAAACTGTCCTTTTCAGGACAACACTTTTCAGCGACCACAAAACTGTCTTTTTCAGGATAAAGGCTCTTCACCATTTACAAAATTGCGCTTCTCGTGGCTTAGATCAGAGGTCGGCAACCTACGGAACACGTGCCTCAAGTGGCACGACAAGCAATTTCCAATGGCACGTTCGGTAAACAAATGCGAAGACTTAGCCGATTAAATTTTGAAATTCCATATTGACACCTTTTGGGCCTACTTTTAAAATAAGTCGTGTTTACAGTTCTAATGACTGATGAGAAAAAAATTGATTCAAAATTTAATAGCACCGAGTTTTCAATTGTAACCAAATTCAAGACTTGTTTATTAAATTTTAAAAAAACAAGGTGATATTAAATGGAGTATCAGTTTTGTTTAACAACAAAGACGTAAACAGATCCCCCACTTTTTGCCACTTCTCTTTGAATGTCATCAATTTCAATACTTCCAACTGAATCTGATTATCTCGTTTATGTTACAAATACATGAATATTAAGTGAGGGATCGCTTTTGTTTTACAATCAAGTAATAAACTGATCCCTCGGATTTTGATACATCCGTTTGAATTTCTATGATAATGTACAGAGTCAATATTTCGAATGGTTAATATGAGCTGATTTAACCTGGGTTACTAAAAAGGAAAAAAAGTCCATTCAAATTTTAATTGTGCTGGGATATAAATGTGACCTCAAGTTCACTTCTTGTAACCGAATTTGGCAACTTTGTCGATCATCAATATTTAATTAACTAACAAGTGTATATTAAGTGGGGGGTCACTTTTGTTATATAACAATGTGTGTTTGCTATTTAAATACTAAATGTGTAAAGTTTCTTACGAGAATATCTTATAATGCATGAAATGATGGTGGTGAAAAAGGGTACACGTATGAAATAACACGAATTGATTTGCAATGCAACATTTATTAAACAAAATTAAAAAAAGGAAAGTTTCAAACAAGAGTTTCTTTCCCTAGAAGTAAATTGCATAGACTACAAATGTTCCTGAATATATTTGAGTAGGACTTATTGTGTTGTTGTGTTTGTGTGTGAAGCGTTGACAGGCCTTTTAGCTTTAGCGTGGAAAGTTCATGTCACATAGTTCGAAAGATGAAAAACCCGGAAGAAAAAGTTACTTTAAAGGAGGGTTCATGTGTTTTTATACCCCAGATCTGCTGCTAATACAAGATATATATATATATATATATATATATATATATATATATATATATATATATATATATATATATATATGAAGTTTGATCATAAAATATCGGGATCGGTGCTATATAGAGAAAACTACAACAACACATAAAAATTAGGCATTTAATCTCCTTCGAAGCAGTCCCACTTCTGAAGCCAAGCACTTTGTCCGGCGTAGTTTCCATTGCTGAAACTATTCCTAGAACTTCTATTTTGTGATAGCGTGAGCAGCTGCCTCGTCGCATGATCTTGAATTTCCTCGACGACTTGAAACCCTATTCCTTTCAAATGGGATTTTGGAAAGATGAAAAAGTCGGGCTTAGATAATGTGGTTTACCAAAACTGCTGCACAAGCCATGGTCACTGGTGGAACCTCTGTGATGTGGTGAAACGACCACACTCTACACACTTCCCTTCTAAGTAACTTATTTAAGTAAATACTCTAATTTAAAAACAAGACAAATAAATTGTATCTATAAAAATAACGCATAAACAGAATATAAATATATATGTGTGTGTGTGTGTGTGTGTGTGTGTACAAACACACACACACAGAAATGAAATGACAACGAATCAAATAAAATTCAAACGTTGACAGCATTAATTTAAAAATAGGGCCTAATACAATAAAAGAGCGATAATTCTTTATTATAGGATATTACATTCGAACATATGTAAACCGCTACATAAATGCATTCATGTTTCGATGCATACCACCGCCTGATGAGATACGATGCATCGAAACATGAATGCATTTATGTAGCGGTTTACATATGTACGAATCTAATATCCTATAATATATATATTGCGTATATTTTGGCAGCATGTTTTCATTAAGATGTATCTCATTAAATAATTTAGATAAGTATTGTCTACTTATTTTTAATAGGATCCATTCGTAATTACGGACAAGTTTCTTAGTATCCGTATTAAATGAAGAAAGAAAATTACTATGTTGATACATATTCATTTTATATTCAGAGTACTTTGAATATTAGCACAATGTCGTCATCAGAGTATTGTTTTTTTAAGATAAATTTTATTGGGTTCATCATTTTTCATTAGCTATTTTGACAAGACCCTGAATGCTAGCTATTATTAACGCAAACAATTAACATACAGAAAAACTACGTAATTTAACGTAAATTTAACAGAATTTCTGCTAATACAGAATACAGAGCGATAATTATTCAATTAAGCATCCCCTCTAAAGAGGGAAGACCCACTCAAAGGTTCGTAGTTTTTCTCTCATCGGGAAAATCTATTTTGTCATTTTAAACACATATGCTAACTTTCAAATTTTAATCTTAAATTTACAACTTTCAATTTGTCGCGAACACTCTTCAAAAACCAGATTTGCAAAAAAAAACACTAGATTTACAATAACATATAACCATGTTTAATATTCACAAAAAAAGAAATATATATATATATGAGTTTATGATTACATTCGCACAAGCTCATCAGATCCGTGTTTCGCTTTCTTTCCCTCAATAACAACCCAATCTGAAAATTTTGTATGGAATACGTTTCTACTATGGAAAAAAAAAACACTGCGGTTTCTAAGGGAGATAACTCATAATTATATCTATAGAAAATACGAGTTGTCTTATCTTTAATTCGATCATATGGTGGTGTTGATCACACGCACTTTACTGACCGGGCCACAGGTTTGTTTGTTTGCTTGTTGCCATGGTGATGTTCTTTCAAGCTAGACGGTGATACACGATCCCCGCTTCGCAACACAAACACTGGACAACAAATGAAACGAGGCAAAGGATTAAAAAACTACGTAAGAAATTAAAATAATTCTGATTCAGAAAACTATCTTTTTAAATCAGGTTTTATTTTTTTATTTTTTTCCTATAGCCGACGAGTGGAAGAAAATCTTTTTTTTCTCAGTTGTCAAAGAACATAAAAACTAAAAAGGAAGTAAATGGGAATTTCTGATTGAAGTGTCGTCATCTTCATCTGTTATTTCGTATTTTTATGGTTTCTGTTAAAAATAATTCCTTAAAAGTTAAATTGGAAACTTTATTTTATATGGTACAGTGAAGTTGTTGGCTGTGAAAAGCCCACTTTATTTCTCGATTTAACAAAGCTTCTGATGTTCAAAGGTATATCGATAAAAGAAGACAAGTTTTAAAAACTTTAAGAAATGGCTAATTATTTGAAAGACATCTTGGATCAAGAGAAACTACCTTCGCTTAACACATGGACGTCAAAATCGGGCACCGGAGTTGTGACCAATCGAAAATCGGCTGCTTGGTCAGGAGAGGATATTCGTACGTCAGTTACAAATGGTCTCTACAGGACCGATCCCTTGACCACAACACTAAAGCCAAGACCACCTTCACCGACCCAGATTAGAAGGAATATTTTAGAAGTAAGTATTTTTCTAAATATTTTACTTGTCTAAATTTGCCTTCTGACATGCGTCACATTCTAAAAATATATGGTGAGTTATTGTTTAAAAATAAAAAACATGATCGAAAATGTTTTTCCTTTAAGAGATTGATGAGATAAATTTTTCTTCTAACTACCGGTATGTTGTATGAATTTCTCTGGTTGAGTCTTGTCTTGATTTTAAACTGTCATTTTATTTATTTTTTTATTTTATTTTACTGTCTGGATAGGCCAGGTAGTTGTAATAAGGTGACAAATCACTGACAATTTTAGTACAATATTTAAACACCCTCAGCTATAAAATTTGAATGTCTTCAATGTTTCCATTTTTCAATGCAAACCCATGTTTACACCAACCATGCCCTCAATTTCAATTCATGCAAGTTTGATTAAAGACAACAGGCAAGAATTTTTTAATTTTTTTTAAGTTAACTTTTCTGTCATGCATGCCTAGATCCAATCTATATATAATAATATATATATATATATATATATATATATATGATTAATTTCTTAGTGTTTACGAAACTGATCAAGAAAAATGCTGTAATTATCCATATGGTCTTTATTTTCCCAAGTACTTTTCAATCTGATCAATTGATGCAAGTTATGAATATGTGAACATGAACGCTGTGAAATTCGAAAAATTTTACCTTATCTTATTTAAGATTCATCAGTAATTTTAGAAAATGAGTTGTGGAAGAGAAAATTCCATTAATCTGGGTTTTGTATTTTTTTTTCATTGGTCAGGTAAACCTCACGTGTTTTTGTTTTGTGGCATTAGTGTGTATGTATGTGCTTCTGGATTCTTGTGGATATTTTTGGGTCAACATATATATATATATAACTAAATATGTAACATTGATTGCTGGTGTTAATAAAATAGTGTTTGATGTAAAATAACAGAGCGATACATTGTAAATTAATAATAAACATTTTTTCCTCACTAGGAGCACAACTTTGATTTTCATGCACAATGCAATCTTCAGTTGCTGAATTAAAACTCACCATTTAAATTTTGATATATACACTGGATTATCATAATAGTGGATGAGTCAATATTACTTAGTGAGTTTGTTATATATATATATATATATAAATGTGTGTGTGTAAGTATAAATAATTTAAAAATACATATATATATATAATAAGTATAATTCTAAAAATACATATATATATAATTTAAATAATTTTAAAATACATACATATATATATATATATATATATATAAAATAGAAATAATTAAAAAATATATATATATATTTTAAATAAATAGAAATTATTCAAAGAATGCATATATATATATATATATATATATATATATATATAAAATGCAAATTATTTAAAGAATACATATATATTTAAAATAAATACAAATAATTTAAAAATACACATATATATTTAAAATAAATACAAATAATTATATATATATGTATATAAACTACATATAAATAATTTTAAAAAGACATATATATATCTAAAATAAATAAAATAATTGTAAAATATATATATATATATATATATAATAAATAGAAAAATTGTAAATATATAACTCTATATATATATATATATATAGATAGAGAGAGAGATAGATTGATAGTTATAGATATAAGTGTGGATAGAAAATAATAAGATATTACCAACTGTATTAGGTTTTAAATAACTCTGAATTCCATGATATGCATAGGTATATGTATATTTATTTGTATATATATATATATATATATATATATATATATATATATATATATATATATATATATATATATAAATATAAATAATTGTGAAATATATATATATATATATTATATAAATATAAATAATTGTGAAATATATATATATATATATATATATATATATATATAAAATATAAATAATTGTAATATATATATATATATATAAATAAATAATTGTAAAATATATATATATATATAAATAATTGTGAAATATATATATATATATATATATGGATTTATTTTTAATCTGATATTTTTATTATTTCTAATATATTGGAGACTACTATTTGAAATAGTCGTTTATTTTTATTTTTACGAACCTGTCTGTCAGCCTGCAGAGTCTTTATTGAGATTTCTAGAGATTTTTTTTGAGTGTGCACACTGATTAACTTGATGTAATACACACTGTTTAAAGTAATAATAAAAAATAAGGCGTCTATTTCAAATACGAATATCTACTAATAATAATGCTTGAAGTAATAAAAATGTTGTGTGTGTGTACACTTTCAACTGAGCTATACTTCCGTTACTTCTTTTTTTTTTCTTTCTTCTGTTGTTGTTTCTGTTATTGTTGCTTTAAATGTTAGGAGTGTGGGTGGGGGTAGTAATGATGAATGTAATTACTGAAAAGTCAAAGCAATTATGTTTAGTTGCAGGACCAAGTAAATTCGTACAAAGATGAAATGGCCAAAAAAGACGCCCTCATCCAACAGTTAACAAGGTATGTAAAATAATTTCTTTTCAAAGGTTCGAACCCTCTTAACCCTGACCCTGCTTCTGTTAGATTATAATATTCAGAATAATCATCAATTTTTTTTGTAAATTTCAATTATGACAATTGCACTCTCAATTTGTTAATCAACCGAGTTAGCTTTATAATATTGTATTATCATCACCTTCATCATTAGTGCTATGACTGGGTGTGGTCAATGAGTCACTGAGGGCATGACCAGTACCCTCCACATATCTTGGTTGAGAGCCATGGTAATATTCATTCATGCATAATGTGTCTTAGGGAAGTAGACCTGGCAGTGCCTATCCCTCTCCAGGTCAGACTACAACTAATGTCGCTCAACTTGAAGGCCTGGCTTGGCTTGGCTTGGTCACAGACACACTGCCATTGATTTTCTTTTCGTGGGAAATGTCTGCTCTGGCCAATCTAGAAAATGCTTCACTCACAAAGTTTTTATTTCAATTCCCTGGTATCAAACTGGTGACTCGTCTTTTAGCCAATGAAACACTCAAGAATGATAATCACATGATCTGTAGAAATTAAATTAAGTCAATAAGAAAATTATATAATTCAGTAAGATAGAGCTGATGAGAAACAGCCATTTTTTATATACATGTGTAATTTTTTTTTTTTTTTTTTTGCAAGCAAGGCAATAATGCCACTAAGACATCAGGGTTTAATGAGAGTGAAGGAAAATAAGAAGACATTAGATAGGAAAAAGAATAATAAAAGAATAGAATTCAGGAAGATGGAAGATAGCACTTGATCATGCATTTAAATTTTTGAAAATTGTTGGTGGCAGGAAAACAAAATATCAGAAGAGAGTTCCACAGGTGAGTAGTACGAGAAAAGAAACTATTAGAATAGAACTTTTGGTTACATCTATCTAGTTCAACAGTAAAACAATAGAGACCTAGTTGCCAATCTAGTAGTAGGTTTAAATTCATGTGGTCAAGGTACAAATGAGGAAAGCTCATTAAAGAAGACACATCACAATGGTGGGAAAGTGACTTAATTCAAAATGCCAGGTCAGGACTACCAACATTACAGACTTTTCTTTGGTTTTTATCAAGAATCTCAAGACATATAGCAGGAGCAACAGACCAGATAGGGAGGCAATATTCAATGCAAGGATTCTGTTGAGAAAAATTGTCTGATATAAATTGAACTATATGACTATCAATAAGTAATTCAAGAATGCAGTTTTACACTGCAAAACATGCCTAAGTGATGACTGCAGAAGTGACCACCTTCAAGCGATATGTAATCTTATAGGAAACTGAAGCGGGACAAGGCAGTACCCAAATTGCAATACGACCCCTGAATGACCTGAATGTGAAGGGGAAATATATATGGCAAGTGTTAAAAGCAAATACAATAGACAAAATGAAAATGGAAACTCAAAGTGAGATGCATTAAGAGAAGCTTTAGTGACATCAGCAATCGAGATCATCCCAAAGAATATACAAAGGAAAATGAATAGGTGACAGATGAAATTCTCGACATGATGAAAAGGAGACAAAAAACAATGCCAAGGTATGGCATAGAATATAGGACTCTGCACAAAGAAATTGGGAACAAATACAGACAAGCCAAAGAGGAATGGCTCAATGAAAAATGTACAGAAATAGAAAGAATGGGTATCACAACTAAATATCAAAGGACCAGAAATATTAAGATCTGAAGTGAAATCAGTATTTCAAACAGAAACAAAACAGCAGTGAAAAACAGAATTATAACAGAGATGCTGGCAGCCTTAGATGATTTCAACACAGACAAGATTACAGGCATAATAAATAAAATATACAACAGTGGTGATATACCAGAACTAAGTAGATTTGTTTGCATAGCACTGCCTAAGAAACCAGGTGCAAACAAATGTGAATTCCATTGAACATTCGGCCTATTGAGCCATATAAAAAAACTCATCATCCGAATCTTGATGAATAGAGCATACAGCAGAATCAGACCGGAAATCAGACAAGAAAAGTGTTGGTTCATTAAAGACACTGGAACAAAAAATACAATATTTATATTTCAATTGATATCAGAAAAAGCAATACAAATACACAAGGTTGGGTATCTATGTTTTATATATTATGCAAAAGTGTTTGATAAAGTACTGTTGGAACTGCTAAGTAACCTTGACATATTTAGGAAGAATATTAGTATAATCTATACTGGCAACAAACTATTTGTATATGGATAGAAAATGTTCAACAAATATAGAAAGGGATGTAAGACAAGGATGTGTTTGCTCACCAGACTTATTCAATCTCTCCAGTGAGGTTATTCTGAGAGAATTAGAAGTCTTACCAGGATTCATTATTGGCAGCCACAATCTTAACAACATAAGATATGCAGATGACACAGTGTTGATAACATATACGGAAAGAAAACTACAAGAACTCCTACAAAAGGTAGTGAAGGAAAGCGAGAAGAAAATATGAGACAGTTGAAATTTTCTAGAGCACATAATGAGGAAAGAGAGCTTGGAAAATTTGATACTCACAGGGCAGATTGAAAGTAAGAGGGAGAGTGAAAAATAACACATAACCTACTGAGCAAATTTTAGTAAATGAATGGCAGAGCATGATTTAGAAGAGATAACAAAAAGACAAAATTTATTAAGAGCTACAAAGGACAGGAAATTGTGGAGAGCCATGATCACAACATGTCCTGAATGAACATGACACAGAGAATAAGATGTAGCCCTGACAAAGAACATATTATGCAGGTAATGAAAGGATTGTGCCATTTACAAATACTCTATGATCCTGGTGGTAAGTCATCCTTGATTGATTGATTGATTAAAAAACCCACAAAAGGTTCATACGCCATAAACAAAATCAATCACGCTAAACTGAACAAAAGCCCCCCAACACACAATATAATAAAAATACATGACAAAACAGGTTGTACTGCACACTATGTCAACACTGGTGTGTAACTAGCACAAATACTAATTCGTTTATAACATTAGCACCAGGGACTTAGAAATGTTTGTTTGTTTTGGTTTTGGCATTTATTTTTAATAAAGTAAACCCAATACAAGGCTTGAGATCCACTCAAGATAGAAGGTTACTGAATGCGATGCATGATATGAATGTAAATGGAGGTAGTAGGAAATGAATGTTATGAGGATAAGGAGAATAGAAAATGGTTGATTTTTGACTAGAAGAGATTAATAATTGTAATGTTCAGGGAAGCATCAACACAGAAGTCTGCTCCAGAAAGTAGCAGATCTTGGGAAAAAAAGATGTTTCAATGGAAGTTTCTCTTTACATTTGGAAAACAGAGGAAATTGTGAGGGATTCATCTCCATGGAAATGGCCTGACATATCCTAGCTGTAATGTTCTGAACTTGTAGAACTAATGAATCGAATTCATCTGAACATTTGCCATGGAAATAGCGATAGAGTAGTGATGGGCTTGCAATGTTGAATCTGTGGGAAAGAAGCAGCAGAGTGGAGAATAAGCCTTCCCCCGCAGGACTGTGTAAATGTCCGAGCTGTAAAGGTCTGAACTGATGGAACTAAAGAATAGAGCTCATCTGAACATTTGCCATGGAAATAGCGATAGAGTAGTGATGGGCTTGCAATGCTGAGTTTATAGGAAAAGTTGCTGCACTGTAGAGAATATGTCTTACCCCTTAAATCTGCATAAACAATTTTGAACAGTGTCAAGGCTGGAAAGAGAGGATTGATCAGCTCCATTCGAGATATGATAGTAATACATTTACATTTCAAGTTCAATCTGGCTATTGTAAAAATACAGCATGGCAAAATATATATATATATATATATATATATATATATATATATATATATATTCTTCTGCTCATGTCTAGGTATATCTTGTTTAGTTCATATTTCTATTACTGCTTGGTTATTGTTGCTTAACCGATTCCATCAGCAGGAAGGTTAGATTTAAGTCTTCAAGTTCTCCACAGTGAATTGTCCAATGGGACAATAGCATTGGTTTGTAAATTTGGTGATATAGTAATTGTGAGTTCAATCTCTGGGCTGGGCAGTGTACACTTGAACCAATATTTACTTATCTGCACACCAATTAAATGCTTATAGACACAACTATAAACAACCAAGAATCAATGATTTGTTTACAAACTCAAATATAAATAACCTATTTTATTTATTTACCTATCCCTAAACCCCAGGGTCTTGTGCCCTACCTCCAAATCTATATTATGCTATCCACCCACTGTACTACATCTCAATTTTCATAAGGTAGTATTCATATAAAATACAAATTTTATTGTAACCTAATTATGTACAATAATGGATCATATGCAATATAGGTGAACAATTCAATTAGAAAAATTGAAAATAAATACAATGTATTTAAACACAAATTCAATATTAAATAAATCAACAAAGTTTTGCAGCAATTTTTAACATCAACTTTTTCTTGTTAAGAAATTTAATTAATTCAACATGATGGATAAAAAATAATGAATATTATTTAGCGTTTTTTCATGACTTAGCATAAATGAATAAAACAAATTCACGAATCCTCAAAAATGTTTCATTCTTTAATAATCTGTTGTAATTGGTTTAATGTGTAACGTACATAAATGTAGGGAGAAAAAATTCATACACAGCTGTCCTCAATGACATATTGCTCAGTGGGTGAAGATGTTGGGTAGATCCAGTGACTAGACCTAAAGAGTTGTGAGTTCAATACCAGGCCAAAGCATAGGTGAACCAAAAAAAAGTTGGAGATTCAAATATAAATAACCTATATTTACCTATCCCTAAACCCTAGGGTCTTGTGCCCTACCTCCAAATCTATATTACGCTATCCACCCACTGTACTACATCTCAATTTTTATAAGGTAATATTCATATAAGATACAAATTTTATTGTAACCTAATTACGTACAATAATGGATTATATGCAATATAGGTGAACAATTCAACTAGAAAAATTGAAGATAAATACAATGTATTTAAACACAAATTCAATATTAAATACCTCAACAATATTTTGCAGCACTTTTTAACATCAACTTGAGATTTTTCTTGTTAAAAAGTTTAATAATTTTAAAACATTCAACATTTTGTATAAAAAATAGTGAATTTTATACCGTGTTTTTTCAAGACTTAGCATGACAAATTCTCTGATTTTGAAAAAAAAAAGACCCAGAATGGCAGCAAATCCACAAAAAAGTTAATAGTTGTGCCTAGTATAATTTGTAACATATATAAATATAGGTGTAAAAAATCAAGTATTGATAAGATAACGAGAGTAACAAAGCACTGCCCGGGGCACCCAATCAGGCTTAGGCACCATGGCCATCAGGTTCAGGTGTAGTACACACTGGTCTTGTTTAAACCAAGTAAATGCTAATAAATGAAAATATTAAAAATGGAAATTGATTTCAAGATTAATTAACCCAACAAGAGTTGATTAATGCTGAAATTAACCAAGCCAATCCATTTGAATCTTCTCTTTTTACAAGACTTCATAAATTATTTATTTTCTTTTTTAATGATTTATTTATTGAAATATTTTTATGAATTTTCAGTTTGGAAAATGCCTCAGCTACTGTACAGACTGCCAGCAAATCGTTTGACCATGTTCTGGTAAATTGCATTGCAAAATTTTATTTTTGGTTTTTCTCATCACTTATAGAATCCACAAAGATTATCCAGTATATCTTCAATATAGAGGGGGAAAAACAGGAATTATTAGGTTGATGCAAAAATTTTCATTAATTTTTGACAAAATTGTTTATTTACATAAATTTGTACCATTTTTATTAAGTCATCAAATTATTAATTTTTT